GGGACACAATAACTAACTACATTGTATATTGACAATAAATAAATAAATAAAATTAAAAAATTAAAAAATAAAAAAAAAGAAGGCACCATAGGAGATGGTTAGTTAGTACGATTATCCACCAAAAAAGAACAACTAGAACACACAAGGAAAGGCTCTGGCTTACGTGCTGCGAGCATGGCTTTCCTCCCGGGGGGAAGGCCACCGGAAAGTGCAGGGCCCGGCATGGCGGCCCCATCTTCCTCTTCTTCAAGACTGTGTTTAACCAGTGTGCGGTGACACATCGCTTCCTTTCTCTCAGTGCCTGTCAAACATGAAAGTACAGCTGTGTTGTTCTGATTTTTATGCAGCAGGGTCAAATATAAAACTGTAAGGCTGTGTAACTACAATGCCATCTTTAGTAGAAGCCCCATAAATAAAAGAATTTCATGACATTTAACTCTCAATCTACTACAGTAACAAACTACAACAGTATAGCTAGTTACTTTTAATGCAACCTGAAAATTTTACTATCTATCTACAAATAGGAGCCACAATGGGAGATAAACGCAACAAATTTTATAACAACCTTCAAAATAACTTTAATCATGAATGTGGTAACATTTATGATTATCAAATTTAAAATTCTCCCACGAAATGACAGAGGGCCCCACATAAAACAAGATATAAAAAATATAACCATCTACCTAAAATTAGCCGCACGAAAAAGCCTCTCAAGTATTTCTACACTGTTAGTTGAAGAGTGGATCCAGTAAATAGCTATCCTCTTTAAGAATTTCCTGGAGGTCATTTGTCACATTAATCTGTCTACAGATAAGAACATTTTTATGAAAGGAGAAGAAATGAAATTTCAGGGGGTAAAAGGAAGTGACACTGAGGAGAAAGCTGATGCCCAGCAGTGTCAGACCACTTCTCCGTGGTCCTTGGACACTGACTGGAAGGAGTGTCCACCCTCTTCCTACCAGCACATGCGAATTTCCCTTTCTTTCTCCATTGCTCAAAGACAATGGAATCCACAAAGAGTTCACGAGAATTATTTTTAGAGGTAGCAAAAAGTCCTTCCAACCCTAGAATCTTCTGACTGTGTATGCAAACGACAGACACTGGCCCCATCACAGGCGGAGCTCTTTCCCTTACCTGTGCATACATGCTGCTGACCTGACTCTCACAGAGCAGGTGCGTGCATCGGCTGGTGAATGTGGGATCCACAGTGCCGCCGTGTGCCTGGATTATCTAGACACAAGGACCCAAGCCAAGTTGTCATCAATTTTGATTACTCAAGAGAACAGAAGAGAATTATAATTTCAAATAAGACAGCTAACAACAGAGTCCATCATATATTTATATAGTATATTCCAACAAAATATAAAAGATACGTAACAGTTACATTTACAGACTTTTCTGCCCGGCACTGTAAAATGAAAACAAACTCCAAAACTCATTTAATGTGAATTTCCAGGGAGAAAGGGAAGAAAAATGGAGTAGTCGTCTTCTCATACAGGGTTTCTCGGCCCCAGCACTACTGACATCTGGGACCAGCTAATTCTGCGTTGTGCGGCTCTCCCGTGTGTTGCGTTTCTATCCACTGGATGCCAGCAGTAGTCCCCTAGTTGTGACAACTAAAAATGTCACTGCCGCAAGTCCCACGAGGGCACATTCGCCTTAAGAAACATTACTCCAAAAGGAAAGGGGGACGGGGAGCAAATCAAAATGAAATTGGTGAATACCAAAAGTTTATTTTTAAAAACGGTTTTCTGCGGTGAGGAAACTGTTCTGTGTCCTGACTGTGGTGGTTACATGGCACTCAGCATTTGTAAAAATTCAAAACTCTGTACACCAAAGAAAGGGAAATTTTACTTACATTAAAACATAAATTTAAAAAAGACCTATCCCCACCCCAAAAACCCGATAGTTTCACTTACTACTTTTTTAGTGTTTATTTTTACTCCAGCTCTTCATGAACAGTTTAATGAGGCATATGACAACAACAACAGTCTCCTATCCCATCTCTGCCCTCCATTCCCCAAAGCAATTGCAGCCAGCTCTGTAAGCTCTTTCTTCCGATAATTACTAATGTACTCTAACAAACATGTTTTATGCTGCTATTTCTGTTTTCCAGTTTTACATGTGATCTGTCGTCCTCCTACTCCGGAGGCCACCCTCCCCCACTCCCACACCCGCACCTTCCAAGTTTGGTTATCCCACAACCCTTGTTTCAATCGGTCTTCGCTGACTTAGTACCATTTGGCTCAGCCACATGGCTTCACACGGCATCCTAAGGTTAAAGTTCCTTTCTGGCCTAAGCTTTTGTTTCCCTGGTGTTAATGGCCTCGCTCCACCCCCAGCCACCTGCCTGTTTTAGTTTTCTGTGCGCCTTCTGCTGTTCACTCCAAACCCTTCAGAGAAGCGTCCACACGGTGGCTTGTTTGACGTTGCCCCCTCTAAGAGCCGGAGCATCAGTCCCGGCCCTCAGGTGGCCCAGACCCAGGGAGGGCCTCTCTCCTCATCAGGGGAGTGCAGCGGAGCTGACAGCAGGAGAGGTGGGAGGCAGTGCCCACGGCCTTGTGAGGGTGGCCGGGCAGGGCCCCTGCAGCCCAGCCGACTTCTGGACAGCAACCTCCGGAGCCAGCCCAAGCCACCCCAGCCCACTGAGCACTCGGACACTTCCGGCCCACAGAGACCTGGCAGGGCACAAGCGAACTGCTCTGAAGCACTAAGGCCTGGGAACCGGCCACCCCGCCATGGAGAGCGGGCGCACACATGGCCCTCCTTAGCCCATCGGTGTCGTCTCTTCACTTGCTCCTCCAGGACCTCTGTCTCATGGTTCCCAATCCAGTCACTCTCTGGTCCTGCTTTCACATCCACTTGGGATGTCTCTCCACTTCCACCTGGGAGCTCCCTTTCCAGCTCTGTCCAGATCCCCCATTTCTTGGCTAGCACACCTTCCCCTGTGCTGTTAGGTAGCGTCCTAAGAAGGGAACACGGGAGGTCATTTTTTGACCACAAAAGTCTGAAAATATCTTCATTCCCCGGTCTCACCGGACTGACAAGCTGTACGTAATAAACCAGGCTGGCAATCACCTTCCCTCCGAGTTCTGAAGCAGCTGCTCCACGTCCTCAGCTCCCGTACACAGCCTTGGAGAGGCTGCAGCCGCTAGTGCGCTGCGCTTCCCGCTTCCCACATGCTGCCCTCCAGTGTGCTCTGCCAGCTCTCCGTCCCACACGCCCTGAACCTGCATGGCTGCTCAGTGTGGCTCCTCTCCCACTCCTTTCCTGTCTGGAGACACGTCCTTCGGTTGTTGGCTATTTTCTTTAATAATTTTCATTTCCTCTGTTCCCAAACTCCCATTATTTAATGTTAGATCTCTTAGACTAATCCTTTAACTTTAAATCAAAATGAACTTTTTTCTACTACCTTTCGTATCTTTGAGTTTTGTTCTACTTTTTGGGTGGTTTCCACAAGTTACCCTCAAAGGCCTCTGACTGTGTCTTCAGGTTTCCGCCTCCGTCATTCTCAGAACAGCCTCCCTCCCACCTGCCCTGCTCAGGCTATAGGCCTCGCTCACCTGGCCTCCAACATGGTCATCTAAAATGTGCAGCAGATCACTTCATCCCTCCCCTTTTCTATACGCTTTAAAGCCTACAGCAAGAAAAAGCCACACTGCACACAACACAGCATGTAAGTAAATAAGGTCTTTGAAGAAACGGCCTGCCGTGGTCCTGAGCCCTCCCCACCTCGTGCCCTCCACCCCCCAAGCAAGTACCCGACCATGTGCACCCATCAACACCTGCAACTGCATGCCTCTGCCTCTGCTGCTCTAATTCTTACTCCTACTTTAAGTAATCTGAGTCCTTAAGACTCAATTCAGGAATCACCTCTTCAAGGAGACTGTTCTTCACACACCAGCCTCAGCCCAACAGGTGAATGTCCTTTCTCAGGTTCTCAGGATACCCTGTGCCCATCTCTGCCCCCACACCTACCACACTGCTCATGTTTATCTGTGTGCGTCCATCTCTCCTGCTGGTCCACAGTGTCCCCAACCTCTGCTTATGCAACACACCTTATGCATGCTGGGCAACAGTAGACGTCACACACCACGAACGTGTACAGTGAAGCACATTCCAAATGTATGCAAACGACACTTAAGCTCGGTTTTCACAAGAAAAGAATTCTGACTTAGTTTTGATTTGTGGCATTCAAGAAAAAGTCTTTAGTTTTTCTTTCCTTTAAAGGCCACCATGCAAAATAATAAATACCGGGATTACAGCTCCACAACTGGACTGGAAGACTGTGAGGGGACTTCTAACCTAGAGATTCTAGGATTTCCTAACACTTGCCTTTGGAGAAAAAGAAATGATTAAGACACATACAAGATAAGGGTCCATGTCCTAGGTCACCAAAAACCTAATCCCAAACCAATTATATACAAATAATTAGTGCCCCTTAGAATTTCAGAGCTGAAAGAATCTTAATAATGATCAGCCCAACATCCCCATCTAACAGCTGAGAAAAGTGAAGCCCAGAAAAGTGATGTGCCCAAGGCCACAGAGAACGTTAATAATAAAAACATCCACAGCACATTCAGAGCATGAGTACATGTATCTTAGTGAATGCAGCCGAACGAACACAGTTAGGTCTACATTCACAAAGCAACACCTTCAAACACAAAGTTTTACTCCTTCCAGATATAACCTCACCCTCTTCCAGGTGGCCAGCAGCTGTTTGTCAGACATCTGCTCTGGATAATCCGCAATTGCAAACACACACCCCAGTAAGAAGCCATCTTCTGGAACTAAAATAGAATCATGCAAGAAAAAAAAATTAAAACCCTATAAACACGAATGCACAAAAAATTAACAAGTGCATTTTGCCAAGGTCAATTGGGATTTATTAAATTAATCAGTCCTGACTATGATGTATTTGCCAGTAATCTGAGTACATTTGGAATACTGCTACAAATAGACTAATTTGTCTATATAAAATGATCACTAAAAGATAAAACCAACATAATTTATGCCTGGCCATTAGATACTCTGAGCTAGTCCTCACGGCAGCCCAGATGTTCTGGGGAACACCAATGCTCACTTCAGTATATGATGTCCCAAAGTACAAAGAAAGCACAATTGTCCCATTGTAATGATACTGTCTGTCAGGTACAGGATTTACATTCTCCATTTTGTAACAATTACGTTAGTATGAATCCCACAACCACAAACACTCTCACAGCATTTATGTAAGTGCAAGACTTTCAGGAGAAAGTAAGAAATCCCCCCATTACTAACTCTCCACTGCTGGGTCATGTCCGAACAGCTGGTGGTGCTGCAGGGGCTGCTGCTGAGTGGGGGGCTGCTGCTGCAGGGGCTGCTGATGTGGGACCTGAGGCTGCAGCGCCTGGGGTGTCTGACTCAAGTGTTGTGCTGCATGAGTTTGCATTTGCTGCTGCTGTTGATGCTGTTGGTGCATGCGCTGGAGCTGCTGCTGCTGGAGCTGCTGCTGCTGCTGCTGTTGTAGCAGGTTGTGCTGCTGCTGCTGCAGCTGTGCTAATTGCTGTTGCTGCAGCTGGTGCTGCTGGAGCTGATGTAACTGCTGCTGCAGGGCATGCTGTTGCTGAAATGGCTGTAGCTGCTGTTGAGGGCGATGCAATGGCTGTTGAGGGTGCAGCTGTTGCTGTGGAAACTGTAGCTGCTGCTGTGGAAACTGATGCTGATGGACTTGCTGCTGCTGCTGCTGAGAAAACTGATGAGACTGTTGCTGGGGGTAAGGCTGTTGGGAAATCTGCTGCTGCTGCTGCTGCTGCTGCTGAGAAAACTGATGAGACTGTTGCTGGGGGTAAGGCTGTTGGGAAATCTGCTGCTGCTGCTGCTGCTGCTGCTGCTGAAGCTGCATTTGAGACTGTTGCTGGGGGTAAGGCTGTTGGGAAATCTGCTGCTGCTGCTGCTGCTGCTGCTGAAGCTGCATAATCTGCTGGGGCTGAAGGTGTAAAACTGGGTGCTGCTGCTGAGTCTGATGCTGCTGCTGTGACATGTGTGTCTCTGGAGCTGCTTTCACTTGGCTAAACAGCACTGCATTGGCATTTGCATGTCCCTGTTGACTGTGATTCACCTGCTGTTCTAAATTTTTCGTAGGTGCTGAAAGAGACTGTAAGATCTAAAAAACAAAAGTTAGGCGAAGTCATTATCAATAGTTGCTGAAATGTCAAATGTTTAATATTCAACTAAATAGAAATGTCAAATGATTGGAAACTTCAAAAACAATACTGCATTTTCCTTTTTATTTTGTATCACCAACTTCAATAAAGCAAGTAAACAAATTCATATTTTAAGACCACCAAAATTTGAAACTACATAAGTAAAATGAAATAAGCTAATGGATTAAATTTGACAAACATAAAGACTCATGACTAATGTGTTTTATAGAGCAAAGTGACAAGGGTAGCCCCCCCGCCCCCCCAAAAAAGTGCTCTGTCCTATTCACTTCTTGGCCCTGGGAGTCTGAGCCTTGGAGCTCCGCAGCGAGAGCAGTGTGCAGATCCAGCTCCCATCAGCTCCACAGACCTCCTCTTGACCAAAGGACGCTCTGCAGAATGACAGGTAGAAAGGCAGCTGGTAGTCAGACTCAGTCACATCTCAACCTTCTCTGCACAGCTGCCATCTTCCATTCCCTCCTACTTTATGGCTCAGAGTCCCACGAAGGTCCCTGGTGAGTTGCCTTCCAGAATAAAGCAGTGGAACCCGAGCAGTATCAGCAGGAGCAGCCAGAAAGCAGCTAAGCCCGGCGCGGCCACCTACCTCTCCTGCACCATCACCAGCCTGCTCTGTGTATTCGTATGCTGCATCAGAGGGCCAGACAAGACACCAACAGCAGGTGTGTTTAAATGATAAACATTCCTCCAACCATCATTAGAGCTGGGAAATTACCCTTCCTCAAAAGTGACTTTGGGCACTTTAGATGGGACAAAAATGTTTCAAGCTAGAGAAAATCATTCAAGCCAGACTATTTTCCTTCTAGTTCATTCTACTTCACAATGACAGGGAATAAGCTGAGAGTTCTGTGCATGTTGAGGGAATGGGAGGAGAGGGAACAGTGACTGGGAGATGCCTACCAAGCAGAGTATTTTTATGTCCTACACAGCACTGGATAAAATAAAAGAAACATATTACACAATTACTTTTGTTCACATGCTCAAATAAATATTTGAAACCAACTTCTTATGATCATGGAAACCATACAAACAGATTTTACTACAACCCAATCAATACAACTTAACCCTATTAAAAGCATACTTATCATTTCAATGAAACTCTAGCAATTCAATTTTAACATACACTAGAACTATACCAAAATCTCAGATATGATTTTAACAAATATCTTTCACTTAAACAGACTCTAAAACACAAAAATAATACAATCTGCAAAGGTAACAGGCTTTGGATTTAGAGATGAAATAATTGAGTTTGCAATTGAAGTAAGTCAAACTCAAGAGCCTGGGCACATCTGTCTTGTAAATATGACATCTCTATAAAAAAGATTCAATATTTCAGAAGCACCTCAGTTGAGCTCTAAACAGAAATGTTTTTCAAACAAATTTAATAAAGAGATAAATGTTTCTTCTCTATACTTAAAAGTATTAAAAAATACCAAGTAAAGTGGAGGGAAAAGTTAACCCCACCACATACCACCCCAAGTTGCTGAAGAGCATTTGGTGTGCTGACATTTCCATAGAAACGCAGGTGTAGGGGGGAGACCCCTGCTTGCCTATAGGCAGAGGAGCCACGGGCTCTGCACAGGAAGCTGCAAGTGACAGTGGCTGCCTTGAGAGGGTAAACGGGAGTGAGAGGTGGGAGGGACTTCCACTTTTCATTCCACATCCTTCGGCATCATTTGAATTTTAAAATTCTGTACATGTTATTTTCTCACCCTCAGAAGTAAACAGCCCATGGAAACATGATGGACAATAAGGAAATGAGTGCCTCTCTGCCACAATGAGCAAAACTGAACCAGTGCCACGTGCTGCTCTCCTCTCAGCCGCCACCAATCCAGAACAAACTAGAGCTCTGGAAGCACCTACACAAACAAGGGGACAGAAGTCGGGACGGGGACACAGAGGACCGCCTGGAGCAGAGGCTGTTCCTCTCAGCACTCTATTTCTGGCAGAGTGGACAAAGGGACTCAGCTGGGTTTGCCGTCTACATGGGTGATCACAACCCTAGAGGAGGCAACTCAGCCATGTTTCTGTTGTGGGCTTTAGAAAAAAAAAGTTAAAGAAGGGTCCCCGTCCACTGCTGACCTAGCCCCTGAAGGAAGAACAGATAGAGATTCAGGACGGGAGCCCCAGCTGGGCATGAAGATGCCTCTGGCCCGGAGCGCTGTGCACCTGGAAGGCCAGCTGTGGAGGGGCAGTGCAGGCCTGGCTGGGGAGGGCACCTGGAAGGCAGGCCAGCCATACGCCTCTTAGAACACCCGCCACACTCATCGGATCAATTTTCCAATCCTCTAATCTGCTTCTGGCTGAAAACACGTTACTCCTGATGAATGTAAGAAAAAGTAACAATCTTAATTGCTCAATCACATAATTGAGCCATACCGCAAAGAACAATTCTGAATGAATGTCAGGTTTGAATTTTTCCATCACCACTGGCATAATCCTATTTAAATTACATGAATACAGAGTTACCGCACGCCACAATATATAAAGCATTATGATACATTCTACAGGGCTCCTCACCACTATAAATTTGCAACTTAAACAGGATTTTGACGGTTAGTTATGTCTTCCCCCTACCATGATCTAATGTTAAACTAAATCTGTCTCATATTTCTAACATTTCAAAAATTCATCTTCTTCACATCTAGCAGTAAAATGTCCTAATGTTCTCTCTCACATCGCTGAAAAACTCTCAGGAAATCTCGTGGCACTGCTCTCACCAGTGATCACAGCCATTCACTCGCTGGATGGAGCCTTCCCAGTTTCCCACCTGTGGAGCACAGCAAGTTCATCTCCTAAGGACAATTTCAAAAGCAGAGATGCACCCAAACTCCCTAGTCTACTCACTTATTTCTTTTTCAAACAGGATTATTTTATCCAAATACAAACTTAGGGAACTTTGGATTTAAACCAACATTCATAAAATCTGAAAAACATAGAATATAGTGGGAAGACTTGTCAACACTGTTTCCTACACTGCAAATAAATGAAGAGCAGAGAACACTTCTACTTTACATGGATGACTTACATCCATAATTTAATGAAAGAAAGTCCCATTTCTTGAGCTGTCACAGGCTTTACACCTACTTGGTGAATTCTCACACCAATCCCAAGGGATAGAAGTGTCTGGCCCAGGTCCTCTCGCCCCAGCTGGCTCACCTTCTAACCTCCCCAGCTCAGGGCATCACCACTGTCCTCATGGCTTGGACCAGCAATCTCAGAACCCCTCTGCCTCCAGCCCATTGTGCTTCCTGTGCTCTGCTCTCCGTCCATCTAAGCACAGAGCCCTCCGGCTCTCTGGTATCACCTTCTGACCGGGACTCCCTGCTCTCCCCTCAAAGCCTCTGTTCTCCTGAGACTTCACTATGTAGCCCTATCACCCACTCCCTGTCCTAGATGCTGACACACTTGAGACAGCACACCCCCCCACCCCGAGCGCCCAACGGTGTAGGAATGGCTCCTTCTCTACATTTCATCTTCTGCCCCTAATGCAGGTGACGTCAGTGCTGACAGGGACACCTGTCCAGGCAAGCTCTGGCCTTGCAGCTCTTCGGCCACCTCATCTCAGTGGCCTTCTACTCGATCCCCCCCCCATTCCCCCCTCTACCACTCATCCCCGTCACCCTCCAGACCTGTGGTCAGGTGCAAACCCACAATCAATTACCTCCAGCACCCAGGCAGGTCACATAAAGTGTGACAGGACAGGTAATAAAATATAAAGTAGTGGGAACGAAGCACACATGAGAGACGTCACTAAAGGGGCAGCTGCCTTCAGCCCAGAGAACTGCCACCATTCACGACTCCAGAAATGGCAGCTAAGCATTTTATCAGGCCATCCACTTCCCAAGATAAGCCAGAAATCCAATTTGTATGAAGCATCTCATAATTACGGCAAATAAATTTTAAAAAATTATTTTGGCAAAACTAAATGTGTCTGGGCAGAATGTGGCCTGTCAGTTACTGGATTGTGTCTTTCACCACCCAAGCTGCCATGCCCTGACAATTGCTGATTCAAATATACCAATTGTGAACCAAATCTACTTTCCTTTCGGACTGCCAGCGTACCATTACCACTGAGACTGTTCCCCGTCTCCACTGGACTGGCTGCCTCTGCCCTCCCTTCTCTGTAGGCTAGAGTCCATTTTATTCTCTCTTGTTACTATCCTGAGCTGTATGGATCTCAACCATGTCCAGCAATACTGTCTTCTCAATCTCCGCATGAACCACTTCAAAATCTTCGGTTCCCCTCCAATCCCTGATGACCTCTCTCTCTCTGCCCACCTGGCCTACACCATCTGCCCTTTCCTCCTTCTAGTACCTGATGCACGTGTGCTCACTCTGATGCCATCCCCTTCCCCTTCTCAAGAACCACGTACTGTCAATGATTCACTGCCTAATCTGATGAGGGGGGCTGGGAGGGAGAGACGGAAGGAAGGACGGAGGAAGGGAGATTTTTTAAATCATCTCTAACCAATAAAGACTTCTTAAACCACCATTATCATACTCAATAAAAAGAACAATAATTCTTAATACTACTTCACATTCAGGCCATATTCAAATTTCCCCACTTCATAACCCTCAAGTCGTCCTGCTAAAAGTAGATGTGTGGAATGCTGGATCCTGCTTCAGATTGTCCCTATATTCTACAGAGTCACTCTCTGGGGCTTCAAGCTGCTATTCAGAAAACAAAATATGCAAGTGCCAGACAAAGTGACCAGCAGCCCAGCCTTGCTGTAAGACGGGATAACCCACCCAACTCTCAAATGCAGGGTTCCCAGCACTGGGCCCAGACCCCCCTCATGCTCTGCCCCATCCTGCCACACACCCTCATCCATTCCAGAGCTTCCATCTGTGTCATTTTGCCCCGTTGTGTCTCTAGCCAAGCCTTTATTGTGAAAGCCAAGCACAGGCACCCCACTGCTCACCAGACCCCTTCCCTGGGACGTGTCAGAACCCTCCAACCCAGCACATCTGAACAGGAACTTACGTTCTTAAAGGATGAGCTCTTCCCATGTCCCTTGTCTCTGAAATGGCACCGTCTTCACTGCTAAAGCTAGAAAGTAGGTCCTGCCCTTCACTCCTCTCCCTCAAACTCCACCTCTAACAGCTCCGAATGGCTCTCTGCTTCCACCCCAGCCCCTCTGCCATCCGGTATTTACACAACCCCTGCCCACTCCCACGCCAGCCCTACTCACAGCCCCCATGGCCTCCTTCCAAGACAGCCCACACCCCTTGCCACGCCCTTTTAAATCACCCACCTTACTGAGCTCAAGTCTTATTAACTCTCTTTTCTTAGAACACAGCAAGTTCATGCCCACCTGTGGGTTCCGGGGCTGCTTTCCACTGGAGCCTCTGCCCTCAGTTCCTCCCATGGCCTCCTTGTCACTCAACCCTGATATAAGTCATCTCCTTCACAAGGCCCTGCCTGATCACCTAACCTAAAATGGCCTTCTTCCCCCAACTGCTATCCTAGGACCTTACTATCTCCTTCAAAACACCTGTAGACATCCGAAGCCGTTTTGTTCATATTTGTCTGCGTACCGTCTGTCTTCTCCACCAAAACCAACAGCAGCGGACCTGTCTTTTTTATTTACCATTTTATCTCCTGTGCCCAGAAAAATACAAGCAGTAGCCAGTATACCACCACAATCATCATCTTTCTGTCTTAAGTTGAAAAATATCTACTTAAAACTTTTAAGATCCATTCCATATCAACAAGCTCCATGTCATAAACCATCAACTGAAATCAAGGCATCTTCAATGAATGAATGAGTTTATGTTATTTATTTACCATAAAATTTACTATAAGCAAATCAAGGAGAGCTAGTAAACTTCACTCTTCTCTTTGCTGCCATTGCTAATTTAGGACTAAGCAAGAGCGGAGCCCCTTCTTCAAGGGACAGCACTCCATCACTGGTGTCCTGGTCCTACTCAGCTGTGCTAGGTCTTCAACCGAATGCACACCGCCACCCTCTTCATGACAGAATTTATGACACGGGCATATGTCTACATATATACAATGATAAAACAAGTTCTCACACAAATACTGCTTGTACTTTATCTGGTCTGAAAAAGCAGAATAAAAAAACATACGAAACAAACTGAAATCCAATTCAAAAATCCAATACTTAAATTTTTGTTTTTTCAAGAGTAACTTACATGTGCTACATTTGATGGTCGGTTAATCTGCTGAATGTCAGCATTATTAGTAATATTTCTCAGTGTCCGCACAGCTGGACTCCAAGTACCTATCATCTCTGATCTTTCAGAACTTTGGAGGTTTTGTCCAGAAGCCATCAAATTACCCCGGACATCAGGAGGCAGGATGTTCCCTGGGACCGGCGGGACATTGGCACACAAGTTAATCAAGCCAGGCTCCTTTCCCTGAGGCAGTCTGCGCTTTGCCGCAGCTAACTGCGGGACTTCAGCTGGGGTCCAGTTCAAATTTCTCTCTTGCTTTTCAGGTGATGAATCTGAGGAGTCATCAAACATCAACTCCCCTTTAGATTTTTCAGGGTTTGGTTTGGGAGAAAGCGGTTGGTCACCAGGAGACCCTCCTTGAGAGCTGGCGGGGCTCGACTTCCCATCCGTACTGCCCTCGTTCTGAGACTCCTGCTCCTCATGTTCCCCCTCCTCCTCCTCCTCGTCTTCCTCTTCGTAAATAACCAGACGAGGATGATAAAATGCTTCGTCCTTTTTCGTTTTCTCAGATATGCAATCCAGGACCCAGTCAGGAGTCACAATTTTAATGCTTGCTTGCTTTAAAGCACATTCATATTTCTCCTATGAATAAAGCACAAACATGCAAAACAAAGCTGTAAATTTTATCAAATTTCCTAGAATTATGCATTTTAAAAAAAGAACTTCAGGAGAAGTGTGCAGTTGAAATGTTCAGCAAGTGTTACTACCATTTTGCACACAGGAAAAGCTTAATTTCTTTTTAGACAAAGAACGTTGAGCCAAAAAGTTAAAATGAACCATACATCAATGTTTATAGGAAGGTCTCATGCCTGAAGTAGGAGTCTTAAAAGATTTTGTTTAAATGAACTTTTGTGATATTTTAAATACAAGAGAGCTAGGAATTCTATGAAAAATTTCAAAACGAATGAATACCTGCTATCTGATCTAAGCTTTTATCTACTGATAACTTTAATGAAGCTAGTTTTCCATGACAGGTTTTTTTTAGGTAAAGTGACCATGGGGTAGAGCACACTGAGGAATGCGTCATGCAGTCACAGGGGTCTGGCGGACTTTCCCTGGAAAGCTTTTTTAATGCCCTAGTGCCTGCCGAGCTCATCCTACACGCCAGGCCACACCACGTGCTGCAGACAGGAAGGATGCAGTAAGTCTCTGACCTAAGGAGGAGCGCAAATGAGTTGTAATGAGAAATTAAAAATACGCAGAGACTACAATATAAAACTAGCTCTGAATAACGAGGAGGTAAGGTTAGATGAGGGTCACATCAAGGGGAGGCGGAGGACTCGGGGAAAGCCCGAGGAAAGATGACCCGTGGCCGTGGCTGTGCTGCCGGTGGCGTGCAGTTAGAGAGGAGGGCAGGCGCGGCAGGACCGAGAGGTGCCCGCACACGCCAGGAGGGCTGCGCAGACAGAGGCTCCCCCTGGAAGAGGTGGGATGTGGAAGGCACTGGGAACGAATACCAAGGAAAGAGGGAACAAACAAACTTTCAAATAAGAGTAGCTTTTAAATGAGTTTGTAAATACGGCTCAGTTAAATAACAGGCTCTCAACCCTCTGCTTCTAGAAGCCTAGAGTACAGCAGCGATTCTCTGGCAAACGCACAAGTGGGCCCTAACCTAACGTCCACGGCCTGCTGTGGGGCCCGCGACGGCCCCCACAGTCCACAGCTGGGCAGGCTCGCACTCAGCAGGGTCACAGGCAGCAGCAGGACAGAGGACTGTGTCCAGTCGCTGTGGACTTTGTGTAGCTCTCGGAGTTGAGAATGGAAAACACCATACAGCCAGGAGACGTATCTCGTGGCAAACAGTAAGCTCTACACAAGGCTAAGTGATTTCACCTTCTGCTACTGTTGAGGATGTTCTTTCCTTAACCTTTTAAAAACACAAGTAAAACTTAGTCTTCGGAAAGACCCATGAATAAAAGCTAAGCAGAAGAAAATGAATATAATCAAAATCACACTGACAAGAGAGGACCACAATCAACATTTTAATTGTATCATCATTTTTGTGAAGCATACATGTGCATGAAGAGGGTAAACGGAAGGACCACACCGTCAGTGTACAAACACTGCTTTTTTCACTTAACGCGCTGTGAACAATCTCCTCCTATGTCAACATGGATACTCTCACACTGGCACTTCTGTTTTAAACTTTTCTGTATGTGCATTTTCAAACACACCCCAAAGTAGAGAGGGTAGCATAATAAATTCCCCGGCCAGTCACCCAGCTTCAACCAACAGCAACCTTTTGAAAATCTTGTTTCATCTGCCTCCTCCCTGACTTTATGTATCTCTAACTCATAATGACTTTTAACGACCACCATTATCATATCCTGTGAAATGAACTATGATTCATTTCACACCCAGGCGCATTCGTCTCCCCAATAGTCTCAGAAACCTTTTTATAGTTGCACACAGTTTGAACATAAGCATGCTCTTCTACTGCACAGTTATATAATTTAGTCAATCCCCTAGTGCTGGCCACTTAGTTATTTCCAGCGTTTTGCTACTGTGAAAAACTTTAAGTTAAATTTTATGATAAAATTCCTAGGTTTTTGCATTTAGACTTAAGGCTTCATATTTATAACTATATTTCCCTCCAAAAAAGGCTGTACCGATTTATACTTCCACCAGCTACGGAAGAGTGTATCAATTCACCCTTACCCTTGATAAAAAAATTTTATTCCTTATCCTAAAAATCATGTTGTTCTTAAACATTCAAGCATAAAATATTACATAGATTCCCCCTACAGTAAAGACAGATGATGATAAATTTCTACAACAGACCAGAGATTTTCAATTTTTGAACTACCCCTCCCAGAATAATCTCAGAGTTATTTTAGGAAAGTATGAAATCTAGGTATACACTGAAGAATTTATAAACTAAATATTTAATACAAATATACAATGTGCTCAAGTAACATATCACACGTAGTATGATTTATATATGATTCTTCCAAGGTAGGAAGGTATTTGTTGAAATAATGAAATATGAAATAAAGTAAATTTTAATTCTGTTAACAAATACTAAACTAAAACTATTGCCATGAAGAGGAGTCACCTAATATGTTGATTACTGAAAGAGGACTTTGCACTGAAGGGCCTGCAATCCACTGTGGCAGTCTCCTGAGTTCCTAATCTGTACAGGGTGATGGCATTTCACATGTCAGAAATGACTGGACTATTTCCTATGCAAATCAAAGTAAAACACTGAAGTAAATTGCCTTATCACTCAAGTTTTCTCTCACTTTTCACAAAATAGTTTGATACTGACAGTTAGCAGTCATACAATTGATAAACTGAAAACTTTAAATTCATCACTATTAAGTTTAAAAATTCATGTCTGAATAGATTAAAGAATATAGTAACATGAAGAAATGATCAAACTTCAGTCTTTTTAAAGAGATGTAATTTCAAAACTGTGGTTACTTACGTAAGCCACAGTTATGATCATAAATCAAGAACATAATGGCTAATTATAAAATACATGAACTTAAAACCACTTTGGTTTTACAAATAGACTATGCCCAAACACACAGTTACTCTAGTTCATGTGACGGACTGTGCTTCTCAGCCTTCAGAGGCACGCTGGGAAGAACTGGGAAGAGAGGACGTGACGCAGGAACTGCCCGTCCAGGAACTGACTAGAGGAGGGTGCTGGCCTAGCCTAGCACGATCCAGAAGTAACATGACAATACCGCCCCAGGTGGAGGCGGTGGACAGACACAGGTACAACTGGCATAGTTGTGCTTAAGCATTTGTACCCATGTCTGTCCACTGCTCTTCAGTTCTGCAGTCTTAGCTGAAATTATTTAACTCAGTGATATTAAAAGGAGTTGTTACCACTCCCTCGAATTTTGGAAATTTGTGAGGGCCTTGTTTCTTTGTTTGCCACAAAAGCTGGTGGGGAAGAGGGGTGCTGGGGATGCTAAATCCTACAATGACTCAGACAAAGCTGCACAGTTGAAGGGTTAACCCATAAACAATATTCCGATGAGGTGCCACCAAATACTCATGTAAAAAAAATATCTAGTGGTATATACATTTTCCACGAAAGCAGCTACCAAGAAAAAAATCAAAGAATGATGATTTCTATCTTATTCAAAAGTTGGTCGCTCATTTTTTACTGGTTTTTATTGGAAAATTATGTCAGTAAGGGCAGTATCACTTATGGTTTTTATGTCACCATTACAACAGACACATGACATTAGTCTTTTTGTAGCTGTCATATTCATGATGATTACACTTATATAAAAATACATGCTTATATACATGTTACATACATATAAACATCTTACTACTTCATTGTCTTCTAGCATAGTTGTACTTGAGCATTCAAAAATCCTATAAACTATTATCAATTGCTTTCTATTTATTTCACATGTGGACATTATGATTTCTTAAAAATTATTTAAGAACAGTAAGGTATGTGTAGAAAGGGGTACTTGTTATCACAAGGGGTGGTGGCTCCCTGTGTTTCACTTCTTCACAGTGACCACAGGACTGACTTCACATCACACTGTAAGCATTACCAGCACTTTCAGTATGTGCTCGATAACGGTGCCTATCCTTGCTACTTTTATTGTTGACAAACACAAAATCCGCTTCTGACCAGTATTTACCACTGCAGAGGAAATGTAGTAAGCACTAAAACAGTAGTTTCCTTTTCCCTATATTGAATTATTTATTTTAGAACTGGGAAATTAAAATTGGAAAAGCAAAAAAAGACATTTCAAATCTGTAAATAAAATCAAAGATGAAGAGTAAATAAATTGCATAAGACAATACTATAATTCTATTATAGACTTAGATAGTCCCTACGTACGTGATAGTGCATGTGTGCACAGACTTGTTTAATATCAGACTTTCAAAATACTTACAGTATTTGCTTTTTCTAAAAATAATCATGTAGCATATTTGTCTTATTCACAAGCATGTTGTAGCCAAATAAAATTATTTATTTTAAATGCTTTTTTGTTGGACTAAATAAAGTCCAATTAAAGCATACACACACACACACACACACACACACACACACATACACATACACACACACACACACATACTCCTATTGACTTAGACATGGTTTTCCTTCAAATAAAAATCTAGAGTCAATAACTACTTTAAAATACATATTATATCATGAAACCCAAAAAGTTACTAAGGATTTATCAGCAAAATATTTTTGGAGAGAAAAAACAACCTTTAAATTAAGGCTCTAGTATTAAAAAGTAAAATCGCAATTTAAAACAACTTTGACAAACCCACTTTATTCACATATTGCCTCAAATTAAAATTTTGACTCTTTGGAAGTATTATTCAGTTATAAAAGTTATAAAGATTTCATTTCCCCTTCAAACTTGCTAAATATAATCAAATGATTTATTGTTAGCTATAAATCAATACTGATATAAAAATAACCTTTACACTCATTATTTAACCAAAGCACACACATACTATTTGTCAGTTGAATTGCTATATAAAATATACATTTTTTACTTAAATAAATTTTAAGAATCACATCATAAATTTTCACAGAAAAGATTTCTTCTTGGATAGTGCAGCTTACTAATGCTATGATACAACCAAACTCACTGGCTCAAAATTCATTTTATTGTCAGGAAACTGGCACAACGAACAGCGCACATTTATGGACCGCTTCTGACTAGTTTAAAAGATTTTACACAGTGAGAACACTCTTGGCAGGGTGAGGCTGGTGCCGGCCCTATGCTCTGTACCCCACTTGAGTGCCTGTGACATACACTGCACACTTCCTTTCTCTGCATCTGTGATTCAGTGTGCTCAGACAAAATACTATGACAATACTGACTCATATCAAAAACAAAGAAATATAAAGGCAATGATTTGTATGTGAAAAAATTAACTAGTCAGGAGACTTTTGTACTATAAATATACCAAATTTGATTTTCAAAGTTATAAAAAAAAAAATCCTTCATGGGAGAAAAAAATTTGCTTTCCACAGAACAGCGATTCTCAAACTTTAGTATGCATCAGAATCACCCAGAGGGAATGATCACAGACTGCTGGGCTCCCACCCTAGCCCCCACCAAGTTCTGATTTAGTACATCTGCGAAGGGGCTGCACAACTTGCATTTCCAACAAGCCCCCAGGGGATGCTGATACTGCTGACCCAGGGACCCCACTTATGAAACCAAAATCTCTATGTCCACACCACTGCTTAGGGATTACAGCCCTGCCCTTATCAAGACGAATGTAGCTTTTATATATTCTAGACTATAAAGAAGGAAATATATCAAAAACTTCACCAAATACATATTCATAATCACACTTGACACAAGGACTTTTTAAAAATTGTGAAGGGAACTAAAAATATATTTTTGGGGCCGGCCCGGTGGCGCACTCGGTTGAGTGCAGCACTCCCGCCGAGGGTTCGGATCCCATATAGAGACCGGTCCGCTCACTGGCTGAGCGCGGTGTGGGCGCTACACCAAGGGTTGCGATCCCGTTGCCGGTCGCAGTACGACCGGTCACAAAAAAAGATAAAAAGGAAAAAAAAAAAAAAATATATATATATATATATTTTTGTCACAAATAAAAATGAACCCAAGTTTCACTGGATTTGAAAGAAAATTCTAGAGATTAAAAAAAACTTTCCTACTTTCCCTATGAAACAGAGCCAAATTTCTTTGTATTTAGAAGTCGTATTTGGCTCTAATATAATTCACAATCATCTCACATCTTTTGTGAAATAAGGCTAGATATGAATAATATAAACCACTATAATTATCTTTTGTAAATGTAATCTAATAATTAACCTAAAAGAAGCTCAAAAAAGACATTTGATTACTGGAAATAATTAAATGACATATAAAAGAAGAACGTACGTGAAATGCTTACCCCCTTCGGTTCTGGAACAACCAAATGTGTGCATTTCTTATTGAGGTTCAGCTGGCAATCCCCCCCATAAAACGTAACCAAAGCCCACAGGGCACTTCTGTCTTCAGATGACACCTGGTAGAAAGTTAAAAATAAGGCTTTACCATACATTTCAACATATGCATATTTATATTTTTACTTTATTATTAGAATACAGTGTGACAACATAACCATTTTGCTTTATCTACTTTTCTCTTTTTAAATAAAATTAACCTAAAAATATTATGGGAAAAAAAGACATTTTTAAACTATTTGCTGATTATAATAAAAACTTTACTCCTATCATAAGTTTTATAGCCAGCTGCCAAAATAAAATAAATAAAAATAAAAGCAAATACCTATCATAACAGTTATACAGATATAAGTCACTTGTTTTTTGCCTTGTCACCAAATGAATAAAAAAATTTTATATACAAAGTCTGAATGCAGGATTATTTCAATCTATGAGAAAAATGATAGCGAAAAAAGAAAAGGGCAGAAAAAACTAGTACACCATTCCAAGCTTCCATCTGTTTCATTTTAAAAAATGTTTAAATACAATAGCAACATCAAAACCATATTTAAGTAACTCCTTAACACTAATAGATAATAAACACTAATTATGAAATGGATCAAATAAAAAGGAAGATAAAAATACAGTGGTTTGTAAGCTTGGGGGAAAACATGAATATTATTTAACACAAAAAAAGAAATAAGGCAAGCATAAAAGAATTCTTATGCTTGTATAGTGATGAAGTAAGGACTCCAGATATAATGGCTTATGCTGTGAAACAGGCTTTCACCATGACAGTAAGAACAGCTACCATTTATTGCCTGCCTACAATGTGCCAGGAACTGTGCCAAGTGCTTCATATACATTCCTCATCCTTACAATGCCAGTGAAACAGGATTTGTTAGCCCCATTTTAAAGATAAGGAAACAAACTAAGTTACACCTGACAATTGGAAAAGCTGGCTTTTAAAACCCAGGTCTGTTTAAACCCAGGTTGAACTCCACACTGTACTTTTCCACTGCTTCTCTAATGGCAGTTTCTACTGTGAAAGTCAAAAATAATTTCTAAAAAATAAAATTTTAGAGTCTAAAAGGCAAAAGAAACAATTAGGAGAAATGAAGGTATAAGCACTTTATTCTAAGATAATGCTCTAAACAAGGGAAATTTTTTTCTGGATAAATTTAAGTTGGTGATTATGGTTATTGAAGAATTCTAAACTTTGTCTCAAATTAATTTTTTAAAAGTACTGATAAGTAGCATGTTAACTTCTTTTTAATTGCCAGTGTGCAGGTTGCCAATAATCTTACATTCTACATCTATGCTCTCATCTATTTTACAAATATATTTAGAAAGTATTTTATATTCCACACTATCTAAAAAAAAATTAACAAAAACACATTAGCTTTCTAAAATCACTTTTAAACTCATTATTTTATATCTCTTTAATTTTTAGTAAGTCAGTGTCACATGTCAGAGGACTTGACCAGGTTATTTATTAGAGGCTTTCACAAAAACATTTATATCCTGCAGCACTTGGAGAGCTGAGATTTAATAATGTGATAATACAGATTAATCCAATGAATAAGATAATCTTTATTAAAAATGAAATTAAAAAACATAATCTAGATATGCCTTGATTACCAAGATTTGGCCATGTCAGCTAAGTATTATTTTTATTTTACTGACTGTAGTTAATCTAGTCCTATGGCCTATTTGGCCCATATCACAGGCGTGGCCCTCAACAGGGTGCAGTATATTGCTGTGGAAAGAACATCAGACAGGGAGGGATGGAGACTAGATTAATAAGGAGTCTCCAATAACTAGCTTATGTCAACTTGGAAAACTTCCATGACCCAGATTCTTCATCAATGTACATTTGGATTAAATGACTTTGAACACCCATACCAGGTCATTTAATGAATCTGCCTCAGCATAATTAATAATTAAGGATGCTCTTTCCACACCAAAATGTTAACAATAGTTACCTAGTGGTGACAGAATTACGAGGGTATTTTTATTTTCATTTTTATACTTTTCTGTATTTTCCAAATTTTCAAAAGCATTAATTTTATAATTGGGGAAAAGTGTTTTTCTTTTTTTAAAGCCATCTTCCTGAAATACCAATCTTATGGTGCTGGTTAACAAAGCATTCATGTCTCTTCAATGCCTTGAGGCTAAAATCCAAAAACTCCCCCGTGGTGTCAAGGCCCTTCACAGTCTGCCTGGCTCCTGCCCACCTCCTCCTGTTCATGAGTGCTGCTCCACGTGCACCCTGATGCCAGGCACACTTCAATATCGGTCCTCAAGCAGGCCAGGCTTTCCCCGTGGCCAGACCTTCCCGACTCTCCAATCTTCCTCCTCTGAGACTCAGCTTACGTATCACTGACTGTCCTCCCACAGTGAACTGTACAGAAATCTAAATACTTCTCACTCTGGAACTATCTGCTTATTTGTCTTTTTCTCCCACTATATTCTAAGCAACTAAAAGCAGAGGCCTGGAACTTTACCTCTGCAGCCCCAGGAATAAGTGCTTTCCTTTAAACCAATCGGGAACACCTACCCTTCTCCTTCTGGTCCTACCACCCCCAATAAGACACTCCTTGATTCAAGCTTACAAGATTTTCTCCCTGCCCAGTCTTGATTATGAACTATAACACTAAAGACTAAAGTCTTACATAAGAATATGTCCTAAATTTCTTTGATATCTTTCACAGTACCTAGGTACAGTGCAAGGCACATGGGTAGGCAGTCAAGAAATATTTGTTGATTGAGATACAGAATGGAAAGAACTTTTATTTATAGTCTTCTAGATTTAAATTATGACCTGGCCAGGCTCTCCATTAGACTCTTGACCTATTCCCCAAAACCTACCCAGCACATTACAACAGAGGCCTCAGCCTGCATCAATACCGGGTCAGAAGAAGGCAGATGATCTCTGTGCTTCCCAACTTCTGCTGGCACAAGCTCCCTTCCCTACCTCTCCCTGGGAGAGCTCTGGAAGACTCCAACAAAGAGCTCCAGCTTGTATCAACACCCTGACGGGGAAAAGACAGAAGGTCACTGAGAACCACCAAGCAAACAGTCCTTGTGTAAAGCTGGGGTCCTGCCTGGTGTGTGCATGTGTGCACACAGGTGTTCCAGTGTGCAGAAAAGGTGCCAATCCCACCGAGAGTCTCTGATCAGTGCAGAGACTAACCACATGACCGCTCCCTCCTGTTTGTTCTATGCCTGGAACCTACTTTCATTTTTGCGCATGTTAACATAGCATATTTGTTCCCATGTCTGTCCCCTTCTAGACTGTACATTTACTGAGGGAGAAATCACATCCTAATTAATTTGTACCCCTTTGCATTGTCCCTGTCACAGAGGAAGTACTCATCAAGGATTTGTTGAACCAAAGTCCCTTAGCTGCACACTGTACATATGCTTGTTGATATATCTTAAAACCAAATTAACATTTTTTAGCAACCACAAAATATTAGTGCTCCCAATGCACTTTTCTCAAACCAAAATGTCCAGAGTTTCTTCATAAAAGTTACTGTCAAATAAAATCTCCCCCCATCCCTATTTGAACAATCTTTTTGAACTTAAAGTGCTCTCTATTTTACCCCATGACACAATGGGGATTTCAATCCATCATAGTATGTGACAAACTGTGATAAGTACAGTGAGCGATCACAAGGCTCATACTGATTCTAGAGTCTGGTCTTCCTCACTGAATGAACTTACTAAGGATGTAACATGGTGTCAAAGACACTGCGAAATCCACCTTTTTGTCCACCACAGACCCAGCTACTCCCTCGAAGAGTTCAACACCTAAATAAAATTCTACCTTTCATCTAAAAGTAGGCAAGCAGTACTTCTCTGAATTTGTCACCAGGAGGGTCACTTCCCCGACCACACAATGAAATGACACTATTCCACCTCTAAGAATCTAGACACGTTCTCTGACCACAGCTTCCTCACCGAGTTTCTTCTTTATGGGACCTCCATCCCCCTGCCCCTGAATACACTGGCATCTTCTCAGCCCAGAGCCCAAGGTCTACTTAGCCCCCTCAGCCTGTGTGATGCTCGCTGAGCCAGTCAGTACTCCTGTATCCCTTTCTATCATCCTTTCTCTCCCACTCCTGGGTCACAGAACAGTACTGAGGGAACACACTCAACCATGTGCAACTATCTGCTACAAATTTATGTTCTAAATCTTATGCTGCTACTTCCCAGCAATAAAAATAAAAAATGATTAAGCCTGAATCATTCTTGGCTTCTGAAAATAATATCCTACTCCTCCAATAGCATCTCTATTTGCTTTCAAGCTCACCCCACCACCAATCTCCTTAACTATGCATGTTACCCAAGACTCCATTCCTGGTTATCTGCTCCTCTCTCTACTATACTTTGCAGGAATTCTCTCCATGGGAATTTCTCAAAGTTCCTACATTTGGATAGCTCAACACCCCTAACTCTAGTACCTTCCCTCACAAATCAGGCACCCTCCATTTCCCACCTTTGACTGGTGCTCCTCCTCTGAAACGACAACATGACCTCTGGCCCCTGACTTCCATGGGAAGGCACCGCCATGGGCTCTGACACAGGGAGGAGCCCAGAGCATGCTGGCTTCTCTTTCTTTGTGCCACAGCATTCCCAAGTCACCACAACCTGTCAAGTCTCATCTGTTGCTAGGTTCCTGTCGTATCTGCAGACCCGAATCCAGATATCCATGTCAAGCCTGAAAGACTGCAGCTTTCTGCCTGTCAGAAGCCCAGCCTCTACCCTGCCTGCATGTCCTGCGCAGAGCTCCCAGACCAAGTTTACCTAGAATGATCACAAGGGGCTTCGATTTTGTTTGCTTTTATCTGTGTCTTCCAAATTTTCTAACATAAACATTTGTAATCCATAAGTAAATACACAAGAAAAATAAAGAAGCATCCTGCCGATATTTTACCCAGTCCGAACTCACAGACCTAGGTTTAGAGGTTTTCCATATTCTCCGCCCATTTACCTACCCAACCATTCTTCTCTACACACAAAGATAAAACCTTGGTCCTAGTATCAGTCTCTCCATAACTAGCCTCTTGTATGTTCACGCTTCTCCTGTGATCCTGTTCTATTCGGAATGCCC